AGCCGCTCAGAGGGCGCAGTTTGGCCGCCGTTCCTTCGCAGGCGGCGTCCGCTTGTACGGTGGCCCACTGAGCGGCCCAAAGACAAAGGCGCAGCTGCAGCATCTGTCCCTCTTACTTCTGACTCGGAGCCGTCTGCGGGTTCGAGGTGGCCCAGCAGCGGCCAGCAGGAATGGGTGGCAGGCTCGAGGTTCTGGGTTTGGTTTTTTGCTTTCGGCAACGGACCCTGGGAGGGATCCGGAAACAAATGTTGATCGAATTTGGCTCAATCCTTTCTCTTGACCGATTTTCTGTGGTTTCAAGAGGGTTAGACCACCCGCCGCCTCCAACTATCACTGAAGCCGATGTTGTGCGATTGTGTTGATCGAAAGGCCGGGGTTGATTGGACGCGCACTGAGCTCAGCGGTGGTCTTTCCAATGCTGTGGTCACTCGGCAACGTCGACTTCGCGAGGCGTGGCTAGCCTCGTGCGGTTGAACACACGACATGGTGTAAGGTCAGGGTGTTCTGGCGAAGTGTGTCCTGGGGCCCAGGCCTGGCGAGCCGCTGGTGCGAAACCTGGCAGGCTTCCCCCGTCACAAGGCGGCAGCCCCGCGTTTCTCCTCCTCCTCCTCCTCCTCCTCCTCCTCCTCCTCCTCCTCCTCCTCCTCCTGCTACTCCTCCACCTCCATTGCTTTTCCTTATAAATGATTTCTCCCTGTCGCACCCCGAAGCCAGTTTTTAGGGCGGGCCGGGCGTTTCGCCTGAGATTCCTTCACCACGTATGACCCTGAAGCTTAAACATTGGCAACAACTTCAAATATGGAGGGTGGGTGGTTTTCAGAATGTGGTTCTCGTCTTAGCGCGGCGCACATTCGGTTCAAAAGTTGCGAGAGCTTCACGGATTGAGGGCGGGTGGTTTTCAGAATGTGGTTCTTGTCTTAGCGCCGCGCACATTATTTGTAAAAGACTGCCGGAGCTTCACGGATTGAGGGCGGGTGGTTTTCAGAATGTGGTCTCGCCTTAGCGTGGCGCACATTGCGTCTAAACATGTGCAAGAGTTTCATTGATTGAGGGCGGGTCGTTATCATAATGTGGCTCTCGTCTTAGCGCGGCGCGCATTCATTCTAAAAATGTGCACGAGCTTCACGGATTGAGGGTCGGTCGTTTTCAGAATGTGGTTTTCGCTTGAGCGCGCTGCACATTCGTTTTAACAATGTACAAGAGCTTCACGGATTGAGGGCGGGTCGTTTTCAAAATGTTGCTCGCCGCAGCGCGGCGCACGCTCGCTCTAAAAAATTGCAAGAGTTTCACGGATTGAGGGCGGGTCGTTTCGAAATTGTGGTTCTCGCTTGAGCGCCGCGCACATTCGTTTAAACAATGCAAGAGTTCCACGGGCCCCCATCATCAATTTATCAGAAATTGCGCTTTGGAAGGATTCAGGATTATGCGGGTGCAATAGTTTCGTTGGTTCTCTGTGTTGAAGTCCTGGGAATGGCGTGTGGGCGCGATTCCGGATCGTCAAGACGCAACAGTCAGGCTGATCCGCGGCGTTGGAATCCCGAGAGCAATGTTTTGGCATGCTTCAGGGTCTTCAAACGGGTGTCTTCCATCGAGGCAGTTCCATCAATGGGAATGAACCGTCATGGGGGTCCATGAATGGGGAGCTTGGAGGGAGGGTTTACTCCAACATCGTTGATGACTCTTGGGTTTACACGTGTCCTCCTCCTCCTCCCCCTCCTCCTCCTCCTCCTCCCTCCCCCCTCCTCCTCCTCCTCCGCCGCCTCCTCCTCCTCCTCCGCCTCCTCCGCCTCCTCCTCCTCCTCCGCCTCCTCCGCCTCCTCCTCCTCCTCCTCCTCCTCCTCCTCCTCCTCGCCCTCCTCCTCCTCCTCCTCCTCCTTCTCCTCCTCCTCCTCCTCCTCCTCCTCCTCCTCCTCCTCCTCCTCCTTCTCCTCCTCCTCCTCCTCCTCCTCCTCCTCCTCCTCCTCCTCCTCCTCCTCCTCCCGTGTGGTCTGACGTGGTCCTGCGTGCCCAAACATCAGACGTCGTCATCGGGACACCATCTGAACACCATCGAGACACCATCAGTACACCATCTGGACATCGAGACAACATCGGAACACCATAGCGACACAATCAGAACACCCCCAGGCCACCGCCGGCCAACCAGCGGGCAGAGCAACATTTGGCCCAGTTTCGCCATAGCCACGGCGGGTTCATTCCGCTCGCCCGCCCACGCAGCTTCGCCTCGCCCGCACGCACGGCACGAACACCAAACCGAGACCAATGTCCCGGTGGGGGGGTCTCCGTTTCACTTCGATCTCACCCCCAACCTCCGATCGGCGAAGATTTGGGGGTGCTTCTTGTTTCTCTCTCTCTCTCTCTCTGTCTCGCTCCTTGTCCTCCTCGCCTGCTGGCCGCTGCTGTTCTCGATGCTGTTCTTCGAGGAGCTCCTTGCGCAGCATTCGTTCCAGCACTCTTCGGCTCTGCCTGCCCGCGCCCGCGCCCGTCCATACGGCCACGCCCCCTAGCTCTACGGTCGCCAGGTACCGGCTGCCCTTCGCCGAGGTGCCACCGAGCCTGCTCGCCGAGCGCCGCGTGATCCTCAGGCGCGGCGTGGCCTACGTGGCCGAGGGCGAGCGCTGCCCCCCCAGGGCTCGTTTCGATTCCTCCGATTCGATTCGATTCGATGTCGATGGATTCCGATTCGGATCCGATTCGACTTCGGATTGCGACCCGGGATCCGATTTCTCAATGGAGGCCTACTGCTCTGCCGATTTCCGCCGATTCGACTTTTTCCGACCCGGCTGCCGATTTCCGCCGACCCGATTCATTTCGATCACCGATCCGACTTGTCGATTCGATTCTGGGCTCTCTTGCCCCCCACCCTTCGACGAGGAACGGAGCAACGACGTGACGATGACAATCACGACGTAGGCGACGGTGCTTTCCAACTGTGGCTGCGACCAGCTCGTGCTAGAGTGCCGGAGCGGGGATCGTCCCAGTCTCCGACGGATCTGGATCCAATTTTCGCACGGACTGTTGCGGCCACGGCTCCGTGGCAGGAAGCGAACAGGCTGAAGGCGAACATTTCCCTCTACTGGAGAAAAACTCAAAAATTAGCCGTTAACAGGGACGGTATTTCGACTATGTGGGACTATGTTTGAGTGTTTGGTTACTTTCATTGTTCTTCCAAAATCTGCCTGTAGGAGGACATGCCCGACCCAAGAACAGGCAATCGCAACACAACCGTTCCGAACAAAACATAAAACTTGTCTGGGCGCCAAGCGTCGGCGGCTCGCCGAGCGGGGGAAGTGTTCACTTCGATTTTCGAGGTGCTCGAGCAGGTTCGGCGGCTCTCGGCAAATCTCCAGCCTCGAGATGCGTTCCAGCAGCTGCGCCTATGACAGGGTCCAACGCTTTCTGCTTATGGCCCTCTTTCAGGCGAGGTCATCGTGACGGCCTTCGTCTTTGCCAACATACTTATTCGGGAGCGTTCCAGATGTGCCAAGATCGTCCCAAACGGCCGCTGGAGACCCGAGTTATGACCCGGAGGCCAGACGGCGAGGATTTTTGAGGGGGCAAGCCTTCTCAGAAGGCGGCGGGCTTCTCAGATGCATGCCAGCCTTCTGGCCTATGGCTCCAGAGACGGCTCAGAAAGCTTCTGAGGAGGCCGGAGGCCTTCCGAGCCTTCTGAGAAGGCCAGCTATGGCTGCCTTCCCCCCCTGGGCACGCCGCCGAGTGCCAGAGGTCACTGCGTGTGGTTCAGTGAGCTTGGGTGGGAAGGGGATGGTTTGCCGGGTGTTGCTAGGAGTGCCCCCAGGATTTCCAGGGAGGCCCCCACGGCCTCCAGAGAGCCCCCCACGAGGTCCAGGGGGCCCCAGGGGCTACAAAGTGGAGCGAAAAGTTGGGGGTACGGTAGGTTCGTGCGCGCCAGCGACGCCGACGAATGCGTTGCAGGTCGAATTCCACGACGCGGCAGCCCCGATGGACACGGTAATGCCACTAGGCCCGACGGGATTCAATCTCGAACGCTCGGAGTCGCGATCGATTCAAGGCTGAACGATCGACTCGGTGTCAAAAACCCTTTGCGTGTGCCGACGCCGCACGAACCGACCGTACCTTGGGCCAGGTCGGCCACGCGCAGAGGGGGGTGGGGGGAGCGGGGAGGGCTTCTTAGAAGGCGCTGGCCTCATCCATAGTTGTAAGGCCGGCGCCTTCTAAGAAGCAGCCTCCTTCTAAGAAGCCCTCCCCCCTCCCCCTACCCCCTTGTGCGCGCCGCCAACCAGGGGCACCATCCTAGCAATCCCCGAGTTCGGGTGCCCGGTGCCTGGGTGCCCCCCCACACTCGCTGGCCGAGTGCCGCGACGGCGTGGCCCCACGTGCCCAGGGGGTGTCCAGAGGGCACCTTGCGCCATGGTTCAGTGGGGCGTGTGAGGGGGAGCGCGGGCCTCATGTTCCTCCTCCTCCTCCACGATCCTCCTCCTCCTCCTCCTCCACGATCCTCCTCCTCCTCCTCCTCCTCCTCCTCCTCTTCCTCCTCCTCCTCCTCCTCCTCCTCCTCCTCCTCCTCCTCCTCGGGGGGGCGTTCGCCCAGTCCCCAAACGGTACTTTGCCTTGGGCTCCGCTGGGTGGCCGCTCCCGCTCGCTGCTCGTGGTTCTCGTCGCCGCTCGTGGTTCGCCAGTGCTCCTCGTCGCCGCACTGTGGGTCGCCCGCGCTCCTCGTCTTGAGTCGTTTTGAACGGTTTTAGTTGCGATAGGTTGTCCGACACGCCTGGAATAGAATGTTGAGTTGTTTTAGGTGGTATGGGCAATCGGGTCAAACAAAACGCGTTTTCGAAGGACCTTGCCAGACAAGATGGCCAGAGAGGGTCTGACGGAGTCAAACTTGGACAGGGCACGAGCTGGCAGACGGTCGCGTTTGCGAGCGATTGAAGTTCGAGATGCAGCGTTTAAGGATGTATGAGGTATGTGAGGGATGCCTACACAGCAAAAGCATTGAATTCATTCCACGGCCAAGAGATTTGACGTCCAAGCAGTCTAGCCGCAGCGTTTGCAAAGCAGATCTGGCTCAAGGCGACCGCGCTTCCAGCTCGGCTGCTGGCTTGCGCACGAGAGCTTGCAGAAGCCTCGCTCCCGACAGCGCGCCCAGATCGCAGCCTGGAGCCCATGGCACAGCCGCCCTCCGCGCCGCCTCCGCAGTGCCACTGCCCCGACTGCCTGTCCGCGCGGTCCATGACGGCGCAACTCGGCCAGCCCCCTCCCATGCAGGTCGCCCCAGAGGAGGCCTGGGCGTCGAGCTCGATGCAGCCGAGCGCCCCGGCCCCCTCCTTCGTGGCTCCGCAGCTTGCCCCGCACGCCGCGCAGGCGCTCGCGGCACCGCCGCCCGCGCCCCTCCGCGCGCCGCTGCTGGCGCGCGCGGCGCAGCCCCCGCCCGCACACGGGGCCCAGCAGCTCGCGGTCCTCGTGCCGAGCGGCATCGCCGCCGGGCAGCACCTGCAGTTCACCACCCCCGACGGCCAGAGCATGTTCGTGACCGTGCCGCGGGACTGCCCCCCGAACTCGCAGGTCATGGTGCAGTACCAGCCGTGGCGGCCCCTGGACCAGGGGGCCCACCTCGCGGCCCCGCGACCGGGAGCTGGAGCAGTTCCCGGACCAGTGGGCCCGCTTCACGGACCAGGGGTCCCGCTCCCGGGACTCGCGGCTGCGGCGGCGGCCCCACCATTGCCAGGGGGCGATTCGGATGCGCGGGGGATGAACATCGGCTGGGCCCTCTACGGCCTCGGCTGGCTCCTGTGCTTCGTCGTCCCGCCCCTCGCCCTGGTGCTCTGGATCTCCCTGGCGGTCCCGCACTTCTGCTGCAGGAGCCCTCAGCTGCGCGCCCAGCGCCCGCGCCAGCGTGGCCCCGCGGTTGCGGCCGCGGCCACCTGTTTGGTGCTCGCCGCCATCGCCGCCGTCGGCGCGGTCGTGGGGGGCGGGTTCATGCCAGAGGAGGCCGCGGCACGCGGAGACGGACACCTGATCCCGCACCGGAACCACAGCCACCGCGGCCGGCCGCGCCCCCCAGGGCCGCTGGAGCACCACCGCCACTTCGTCGGAGAGGTGCCCCACCAGCGGCTGCGCGGCGCCGTGCTGGCAGGCAAGCCGCTCTTCGATTCGGTTTCCGTCGAGGGGCTCGTTGTGGCTGGCGGGGGCTCCTTGCAGCAGAGCTCGGTTGTCGTCTCTGCCGCGCTCGCGGGGCCCACGGTGGTGCAAGGCCCGCGCGAGGTGATAGGCGTGTCGGAGGCTCCAGGCTGGTTCTCGATGGCGGTGCACAAGGTTGCCGGGATGTGGGCGGCGAAGAAGGAGGCACATCATGAGGCCATGAAGAAGTGGACGGGCCATGTTACTAACTACACGGTCGTCGAGGGTGCCGAGGAGGAGGCGCACAAGCCATGCGCGCTCAAGGCCGCAGCCGAGAAGTTCAAGCAGCAGTGGGTCAAGCTGGAGAGGCCCGACGTCTTAGAGTGAGCATGAGTAATATGCCTACGGTGCCGAAACGATCCGCTAGGAGCAGAAGTCCTGGGTCTTTGGGAACACGTGCTCTTGTACATACCAGAGGGGGAAAAATTATCTCCAACCAGCAACGGTGACTGCGAGTCTGGTTCACTGTGCAGGGATAGCGTGTTCGAATAAAAAAAGGTCGCGGCCGGTGCTGCATGATGGTTCTACGAGGACGTGCAGGGCCTTGGCTCGGGGACACGCAAGACTCGAGTGCGCCAGAACTCGGGCTTGCCGACGCTTTCCGACGGGCGCGTCCTGGATGTTGACGGCCCGGCTTCCGTGGGATGTCTGCAGCGGGAGTTCGCGTCAAATTTCAGGTTGGTTCTCGTCAATTTCATGATGGCCCCGAAGTAGGCATCTCGGGCATCCAGATCCCAATCTGCTGCAGGCGCCTTCCTATTTCAAGAGTCGAGCGGCTGCCCCACTTCCCTCCTCTTCTTGGGGCGGGCGGAAACCCACTCCATTTCTAGCGCCTTCCTACCCTGCATGCTGCTCTCATCGTACTCAAGGACCACATCCCAGAAATCATTTCGAGCACCCAAAAAAGTATCGAGGCAGCGTCGAGCGAGTACCGCCTCCCAGGGCCCGTTTCGGTACCTTCTTGGTGCTCGACATTCTCTCGGGCGATCAAGGCTAAAGTTAAGTCGGGCGTGTCCTTCTATAGGAGGAATATTCAAAAATAGTAGAACAATAGTCTGGGGATTATTTTTAGATTGTGTTTGGCGATTATTTGAACATGTGTTGACAATGTTTGATTTTTCTGTTTAAATTCGCCTGTAGGACAGAGCGGGTTCTGTGGTCGCTTGGAGGGGGGAGGGTTGGAACTGAACCCCCCCCTTCCTCCCGGGGAGCTCGAACCCCCCCCCCCTTACCTCCCCCTCCTCACCTACTTCTCCCCTCTCCCTCTCCTCGGGCCGGCGCCTACGTCGGCAGCGGTTGGCGGCGGCGGCGGGGACGACGACTTCCTTTTCTGGGCCAGCGCCGGCTCCTGCGGCGGCGGGCGGCGGCGGCGGGGAGCGTCGACGAGGACGACGGCGACGACGATGACGACGACGACGACGACGACGCTCCGCCACCGTGCCTTGGTTTTTGTCAGGGTCCTCTCGGGGGCCTCTGAAGGGCATTTGTGCAGCCTCCTGGTCGCCTCTTGGGCGTCTCTTGGGGCCTCTCTGAGGTGGTGGTGGTGGTGGTGGGCTGTGGTGGTGAAAGTGGTGGTGGTGGTGGTGGTGGTGGTGGTGGTGGTGGTGGTGGTGGTGGTGGTGGTGGTGGTGGTGGTGGGCTGTGGTGGTGAAAGTGGTGGTGGTGGTGGTGGTGGTGGTGGTGGTGGTGGTGGTGGTGGTGGTGGTGGTGGTGACCTCCGTTTGCATTGACCCCCGTCTCAAGGCTCCCGAGGGTGCTGCTGTCGATGCCCTTTGGGTGACCCAGCTTCTCCACTGGGATCGGCGAGGGGCTGCTAAGGTTAAGTCGGGCCTGTCCTCCTACATGGGGATGTTGGACGAAGATTTAAAACATACGCCAAAAATGCCCCAAAATGATCAAAAAATGCGCAAACAATCGCCCCCAGACTATATTTTGACTAGTTTCGAATTTTTTTCCTGCTGAAGGACACGCCCGACTTTATGCTAAGGGGATGGGGGGGTATCAGGTGGATGCCAAGGTGGGTGATATCGTGTATCTGGACTGGCCAAACTTATATACGTGGGTTACACATGTCCCAATTGGCTTCAAGAAGGATTCGATGATTCGCTAAGATGGGCGGAGCCTACTTAGCCCAGATCGTTAACCACCACCCCTGAGCCACCTGGGACAGTTGCAACCCACTGATAAACCAGGTTGGGCCAGATGTGACCCATTCTGGCATTCACCCCTTAGCAAACCCCGCCCCGATCCCAGTAGACCTCCAACAAAGAAAAATCAGCCCGATCCGTGGATCTGGCGCGTGGGCGTCCGATCCACGGATCGGGGAACGCAACCTCCGAAACATGGCGCCAGTGCCGCCTGATTTGGCGACGGAGCGCGCCGATCTGGCATGGGAGCGCGGCCCGCCCTGGGATCCGACGTAGCGAACAACTTGCAAAATCGAGAAAACTTGCGGCCAGAGGCCAGTATCCCACTTCCCTGCGCCATTCTTCGAGCCGGAGCGATCTGCGAGGGCCCTGGGGCCCGAAGCTGGACGAGGACGCCCGGCTCGAAGAAGCTGCGCCATTCTTCGAGCCGGAGCGATCTGCGAGGGCCCTGGGGCCTGCAGCTAGACGAGGACGCCCGGCTCGAAGAAGTTGCGACGTCAAGATTTCGAGGCTTTCGGCTCATAACTCGGGCGTCCCGCGGCCGCTCTGGGACGATCCCAGTACCCCTGTATAAGACGCTCGGCGAGGCGCAGCTGCTGGAAAGCCTCCTTCTCCTCCTGCTCCTCCCCCTCCTCCTCCTCCTCCTCCTCCTCCTCCTCCTCCTCCTCCTCCTCCTCCTCCTCCTCATCCTCCTCCTCCTCGTCCTCGTCCTCCTCCTCGTCATTCCGAAGGTGCAACACCGCGGTTATCCGACGAGAACGCCCGCAGACCTGGAAAACCTCGCGAGAATCGATACGCCCGGCCCGAAAGAGGTGAGGCGCCAGGAGTTCAGGGTGTCGCTGGTCCACGCGCCTGCGTCCATGCCTGCGCTTCCCCGCCGGACGGGGCCAGAGGGCCGCGCGGGGGCCACGGCAGCCGAGCGCGCCCGCACCCTCGACCCCCACGCTCCGGACCTTCCACGCAACGGGTGCCGCCTCTGCGGCCGCGCTGGCTGCGGCCGCTGCGCAGCATCTGCCGTCCAGAACGTGCGGAAGGTAGAGGTCGAGGGTCGAGGGGAGGTCCCCAGAATTCCGACGTCGTGCTTGTTCTCGCAGCGTGGACCCCCAGGGGTCTGGGCTTTTTCCCTGGGACCGGTTTCCCATCCCAAGCAGATCTCTGACGGTCCCAGGGCCCAGTGGGGGCCCCAGTAGCTAGGAAAACGGTCATAACCCCTCCGTTCTGATTTTCCTCGCGACGAGAGGAGGTGTCGGAGGCTTGGACATGGGCACCAACACCGACACCGGAGGCTCCCTCCTCAGAAGATGATCCTGGACTCTGGTGCTGGTGGCAATCTGTCGGCCACTTGGGAGGCCCGAGCACTACAGCACCGAGATCGGGAGGACCTCCCCTCGATACTGGTGATGTCGCCAACCTCTGGGCGCCTCCGAAGCTGGGGGTCGAGGGCCTGGTGCTCGTCGGCGGGGCGGCCACGAGCCGCCGCGGGGCCACGCGGCGCGCGAGAGGCCGCCGAGACGCGGCGGCCGATCCCGGCCCCGGCGGCCCGCGAGGGGGCCACGGAGCTCCGACGGCCTGGTCGAAGGACCGGAGGAAGCGGCCCGGACCTCGGGGGCCGCGCGGAGGGAAGCACCATGGCGCCCTGGCGGCAGAAGACCTCCGAAGCTTCCGAACCTCCACCTTCCGAAGCTTCCGCGCGGCAGCAGTGCCGCCGAAGCGCGGCCGCGGCGACCGCCTCCAGGAGGAGGAGGAGGAGGAGGAGGAGGAGGAGGAGGAGGAGGAGGAGGAAGAGGAGGAGGAGGAGGAGGAGGAGGGGGAGGGGGAGGGGGAGGGGGAGGGGGAGGGGGGGGGGAGGGGGAGGGGGAGGGGGGGGGAGGGGGAGGGGGAGGGGGAGGCGTCTGGCGCGTCCCGTGCGCGGCGTCGGCGACGTCGGCGCGCCGCGCGCGCGCGCGCGCCGGAGGCGAGGCTGGCGCGCTCGCGGCCCACCGCTTCGGGGTGCGGCTGCGCGAGGCGGACGGGCAGCCACCGCTGCCGGCGCCGCTTCCACCGCTGCAGCCGCTCCCTCCTCCTCCTCCTCCTCCTCCTCCTCCTCCTCCTCCCTCCTCCTCCTCCTCCTCCTCCTCCTCCTCCTCCTCCTCCTCCTCCTCCTCCCCCATCCTCCTATCGAATAGCTAAGTATTCGATAGTTCTGTGATTTTCGGGGGGGGCAAGGTCCTTTTCGTTCCGGATTCTGCTATCCTGGGCCTCTTCCTGGCCACCAGGGGGCCAGGGACAATCAGAAACGAGCAGGATCAGAAAGGAGCACGGTGAGAAATGAACGACGTGCAATTCATCCGCGCCAATTCTTCGAGCATCATGTGAGTGACGCCACCGTCATCCCTGAGTGTGGTGACGTTTGCCTGGCTGGTCACTTTAGAGCAGCACTGCCGCCATCGGACTCCAGCCTGCATCCAATGGGTGCGGTCATAGCCACAGTGAGGGGAATATGATCTGATGCTCAGCGCCCCCAGACGGGCATCGCGTGCTTGTGATCTGCGGTCGTGATCATGTCAGAAGAAAGATAAATGCGAGCGACGCAAAATACGGGTTCGAATGCGCCGACATTCGCGCCCAAGCTGCCCGCGTAAGGTCGCTGCCCAGATGTGGCGTTCCGCGCTGGCGGCCTGCGCAAGCCACCGCGTAAGGTCGCTATGTCACCTCGCGTGAGACGTGAGGATGGTTCTGAGGTCAGAATCAGGCAGGATGGTTACGTACACAGTGCAGCGCAGGCGGGATGAGCGGCATTGCAGCAGCGCTTCCCCGCCTCGGGCAGCAATCTGCTTCCGAGGCCCCACAGAGGGCAGCGTTGGCAGCACGCCGGCCAACTGTGCATCAGCGTCGAGTCTAGGGAAAAACTTTGGGAGCAGGTGCCACGAGGGCCCGAGGATACAGTCGGGGCCTTGAGGAAGGAACCCTTTTCGTTGCGGAGGGGCTCGGTGTTCCTTGATTGTTGTACAGTTTGCCTCGGGTTTCCCTTAGGTTTTTGCATGGGAAATCGAAGTTGAACTTCTGGAAAAAAGGGGCCTCGTTCCTTATTTAGGGTTCCTTAGGTCTTCGCCTCGACTGTATGGGATGCACGGCCCGAGGTGGTCGGACGTTTGCGCTGGGCTCTCGGTCGTTCTCCACACTCGGGGTGCCTGCCAGAGGCTGCGCCTCGCTGCAGACGTTCCGGGAGCGCCCGGCCGGCTCGTCCCGAGCGGCCGCCAGAGAGCCGAGCTTTGCTTTGAACATTGCCGAACCCCAGACCTCCGACGACGTGGTTTTTGTTCGATCCAGGCGTTGTCCTCGATGTGGGCCTCTGGGGTCTCTCATCGGGCCATGGGGCCATGGAAAACGGATCCGGTGCGAAAGATTGGCCCTGGGGGAGGGGTCGGGGCCCTTGGGACTGTGCACTGGTAAAAACAAAAAGTAGTATCGTCTGATGTTCGGGGAGAGGGAAAGGGGTCGTTGTCGTCGCCGTCGCCGTTGCCGCCGCCGTCATCGTCGTCGTCGTCGTCGTCGTTCTCCTCCTCCCCGTCCTCCTCACGCTCTTTCCCTTCCTTCGTCTCGTCGCCCGCATCCTGCAGTCCTCGTTTCTCCTCCTCCCCCTTCTCCTTCTCCTCCTGGGCCAGAGTCAGGGCCAGAGCCAGGGCTGGGCGCACGAAGTCTGCTGCGTGCAGGTGGTCCCAGCCCCGCGTGGGCGCCGCTCTTCGGCGCACGGGAGCCTCTGGCGCCCCGGGG